ATGTGGTCCTGAGCTTTCCAGCAATCAGAATTCGCATGGCTTCCGCTGTCTTAGCATGATCCTGGGTGTGATGCCCAAGAGCCAAATGAGCAGTTCTTGCCTGGAAAACACTAACACACAGTTATCAAAACTGAATGGAAGGTCCAGCGTTCAATCATGACCTTTATCAGAAGCACCCCCAAAAAGCAACAGAACAGGTGCTCAGTCCTCAGGAATTTTGTGCAACAAATGTATATAGCAGAACATCTGGGTGCTGCAGTGATTTTTTGCTTCAAACACCTCCAAAACCTGTGTTGAGTTAACTTGTATCAAACTTTATTCAGATTTTGATATTTTGTCTAAAAAATCGTGTTGGCTTTTTGGTTTAGCCCCTTTTTGGCGATGTAGCCTTCAAGCTCTCCATCTGCGTAATTTCTGAAGGTCCTCTTGCAACAGAAACTGGGCAGACAACATGTTGACCCGTACTTAAGCAGCGGTACTTTCCTTCGTGCCTTGTTTGTTGCCTATTGGTAAGTTCTTGTTCCTCTGATTCAGCTTTTTCGTTGCTGACACAACTGATTTGCTGTATTTATGTTCATTTAACTCTTCCTCTCCCCTCAACATTCTCTCAACATTCTTCCCTGCAAACTGTTCCCAGTCCCAAAAGGCTTTTCAGTTACTTATATAATTCCTTCAGTAGGTAGGATACAGTACATGCTTCTGAACTGTTCACTCTCAAAATCTCTCAATTGTGGTTCAAATTTGAAGACCAAAAGGAGAGCTGTGTCCATCTTCACAAGGGTTCTTTGGTGAAGTTGATGTGTCTTGTTTTTTGTTGCGAACATTGAAATCTTAATGAAGGAACCCATCTAGATTAAGAACGTAATGAACTAGACCAGGTGCAAGAGGATTAACTTCTATCGCAATAAGTTATATATGTCATTCAGTCTGTGTTGTTTGGGCTGCTTTTTGCCATACATAGAACTCTCCAATTAGCAAATATCCTGCTTAAGCAATTTTTCTAATCCTGCTTTGACTAGGACCAAGAGCCTGCTGCTGCTGCTTGCTGAGGAGATAGGACATCAACAAATACTTACAGTAAATCATATAAAAAGAGTCAGGCATAAGATGTAACATCCATTGGAGCAATAGAAAAGCCTGTTGGGATCAGGTCGAAATTGCTAAGGGACGAGTGTTGAAGTTCAAGTCTTCAGTCTTGAAATCAAGCACTCAAAATAAGCACATGGTGATGGGAGACTGAAATATTTCAAGATTCAAAGCCAAATAGCTTTGACAAATAGTGCAAACACATGAATACAAATGAGCAGGCAATTATTGCCATTGGTATTGCCACTGCACTTTGATATTGGGCAAAGAAAGCTTAAAAAATGCAGGTTCGCCTAGGTCTCAGAGCAGCCCCGGTATTCACAGTGTCTCTGAAGGGTTTTGGGATAGGGTGCCGGGTGCCTTTTTCCAGACACCCCCGCTCCTAAAAACAAGCTGTCAAAATGCCCAAAACAATGCCTCACTACCTCCACCAAATAGTACTTTTGGGAGTTTATGGATCTGCTTGTAAAATACAGCTTGCCAAAATATTCCGTGAGGAAATATCATCTGAACGCCCAACTCCGAGGCTGCGGAAAACATCCGCTGCAGCCGTGGCATCCTGGCTAGCGCATGCTCTTGCTGTCAGGGTGAACGCATTGAAAACAAAGAGATTCCTACAATACAGTCGACACTCGACAAAGCAAACTTGCTTTAAAAACAAAAGCTCTTCTTGGAGTGTGAAGAACTTCACAGTGCTGAAACTCCAAGATCTCGAAGCAGCCGACTCTTTTTCTCTGAGCGGCACCCCTTGTAAAATCACATGTACATTTCAACCTGCAGCAGAGCTGGGAAAGTTCGACGTTCAAGAGAAACATGCTCAGATCATTCGAGCAGACTGGTCCGGATTTTGCCCCCACTCAACGGTAACATCTTTTGGCTAGTCTACGTGCGTGGCGGGATGACCTGCCATGGACAAAAGAACATCAGTGGGAGAAGAACCCAAACCAAAGTAGCAACAGTGCTATTGTCATTGTAGGCAAGCCCAAGAGATGTACAGCTTGGATTCTTGACACCAGCTGTAACATGAAATGCAGGTTGTCAGCACATTATCAGAATCAAACAGTTCTGCACTACCGTTGAATCGCTAACCTGAAGGCTGCAAAGTCACTTTCATCACATCTTTCATCAAATGTTTAAAAGATTTTAAAAGGAGTCCCTGACTGAATAAACAAAAGTACAACCCATCCCTTTTGCAGCTCTTGCGAAGTCCTTATAAAGTTGTCCGACATCATTTCATGTGATTTCTAGTTTCATGCCAAGGCTGTGAAGCATCCTCCTCAGGCAATGGTGCAGGATGTATGGGCGCAATTTTGGTAAGCGCTCGAAGCTCGCAGGCGTTCGGCGCCTTTTATGCAATGGTCCTGTGCAAACTAGACTCTCCCCGAAACCCTTGCAAGTTGCAACTTCCACCCGAGTCGACACGTTCCGTCTGCAAATCCTGCTTTCCACCGGCATAAATGTGGAGATTAAACATGATTTAACGTCACAGGAATCGGTCCAACCTCAAAACGACTTGCATTTGGTATCAAAGGCTTTCGTAAGTGGCAACTATCTTGACTGTGCAACCAGTTCAGGATGTTCAGAGCAGGGCTTCTTCAAAGGGTTGACAGGGTTACAATCAGTGAAGCCGGTGATGGCAGGATCTGATCTTCCAAGAAGGGCCAGCGACCGTGCAAACTTGAGTCAGAGTGGGCTGTTCGACAAAGTTCCAGGCGGAGATTCTGCAGACCATTTGAATTGTCCACATAGACCACACCAAACGCAATTGGAACTCTTCGAAACCTGCCGATGCCAGCATTCTTCACAGTAAAACAAAAGTTGGCCGTGCTCCTGGGTCTATGTGATTGGTTGCAGAGTCGTCTGCTCCGCCTGTGCCAAAGTGGCAAAATGATGTTGCTGAAGCCAGGGTTGATATCAAAAGGACCCCGAGAGCCATCTGCCCAAAGATTGGAGTTGTGGAGGTGAACCCTGCCCTTTGCCAGCAACTGGGGATTGTGCCTGCTGGATTTCTAAACCAGCCTCTCGATGTAGCCACCTGGTGCATCCTCATTCTACATTCGCACCAATAGTCTTTGAACACCTGCCAAAGAAATGCTGTGGCTAGGGCCACTCAAGCATCTTGTTTGGGAGGTGGTTCAATATCTCTGTAAAAGCAGGGATCCTCACCCATCCCAAAACAGAGCTGAGTGTCCAGCTCAGCCCATTACATATATAAGTTAGAAGCAACAAAGGGCTTATGACTCATATGACTTATGTTTTGCGGATTAAAAGGATTGATTGATGATGGAGGCTTCGACTGGTGAACCTCGACGCGGCATAACTTCCCTTGACAAGCCTGAGTCGTGTATCACAAGCTGTTCATATTATGCAAAAAGCCTTTCCGGCAACAGGTCTACAGACTAGGCAGACCTGGGCAGCGGCGGGCTGCTGGGTGGGCCAGTGCACTTTGGCTGACTCTGTATTTCAGGTCCTTGTCCCCAAGCCCTGGAACCCATCACTAGTTCTGGGCTGGTGAAACTGAGTCATGTTGAACAGCAACTGCTCAAGATTGGTTCCAAATATGTTCCATTGTTCTGTCAAAGCAAGGCAAAGGCATCTGGGATGAGCAAGGACAGTCCGGTGCACAGAACCCTTACAAACATCTGTCCATCACAGTACTGGATACTGGTGCTCCTGTACTGTGGTGACTTAGTGCATTGCGCTGGATTGAAAGGCAAATAGCTGAAGATAGCTTAAGCTTGAAGACCCGTCTAGTCGTCTAGTCCAGACTTATGAGGCTGTACTGGAGTCTAGGTCCCTCTTGGTGAACATGGAGAGCTGCCGGTGCCAGCATCTGCCTTTCTATCAAAAGCACAAAGAAATGGAAACTGGAATAAGTTACTTGGCCCGGAATGTCAGGAGAAATTGAGGACTGCTCTTAGGAGGACGTACGCCCCCGTGCCCTCAAACCGATCGATGATGCTTCCATATGCTTCCCAACAGATCGCAACCCTTTTTAGAAAGCACGACAGATTGCAGCCATTGTGCAACAAACTGTTCACCCTGAGTCATTTGATTCATGATGCTGTCCTCTTCAACATTGAGATTGGCCTGTTTTCAAATGGTCAACCTCAAAGCGGGCTTCAACGTGGCCCTAGCCGAGCGCGTGACGCTTGGCGGGCCGCTAAACATGGTCTGTTCAAAGCATGGCGGGTTTCCTCTGCCTCTCATATCAAGCGAGAAGGGTGTCCCACCACTTTGAAACCTCTTGGCGTTAAGCTGGCCAAAGACTCCAAGACCAGGGTTTCAAGCGATCTGGATGATTCTCTCTTTCTCTCTCTCTCTCTCTCTCTTTCTCTCTCGTGCTATGTCCAAATTGGCCTGGCCTTCTTTCTGCCAAGAAGATTAAAACCAGACCGGACAAAACTTTGGACGGGGTGGAAGGCTGCGACGATCAAGAGGCACCTTGATGCCTTGGTTGTTGCCGTCTTGGTTAGCCTCAGTGCACTCAAAGGCATTGGTGATCACTGGCTGAGATACCTATGAAATCACAAAATAGGTCGACCACACCCATGTTGAGAAGGATTGCAGCGCATTTTGATTGATTTATGTGCACTCCCGTTGTTTCAACAACGAGGTGCAACAATCAATTGGTTGCAAGTTGCAAGGTCAAAAAAAAGAAAAAACAAAAACCTCGCCAGATTTATCACGATAAAGTTGGACCATCAAGACCAGAGATCCTAGGAATGGCTTTTGTATGCTTTCGTGTCTATCCTTCCACGCTGTTATTGACTCAAAAGTGTATTGTTCTGTGTTCAGTTCCGTGAGATTCCAAGATGCATGTTCCAGGAGGTTCCAAACACCTTTGATTTGAAGCGTCCGGCTAGAGTTTGGCGAACTCCTTGAGGGCAGTCACCGAAGCAAAGTCCAACTCCCTATGGCGTGTCCATTCCTTTGCGCCAAAGTGCCCAACTCTGCAGCAAATCCAATGCTGCCAGCAGCTGGGCTCGCTCCGGCACGTCGGCAATGAGTGGAAGGTCCTCCATCAACCCCCCGGCAGGCTTTAGGTACATATGAATGTTCCATCACAGGATGCATCTGCATGGTTTGGCTTGTCGGTCCACATTCCTGCCAAATGATAGGTCGACCTGACATCACCTTACACATATACAACAGTATTGCTTGTGTATGGCTTGCCCGCAGTTGTTGTATACATATAATATCTACAAATATGTGTGTGCAGGTCACCTGAGGTGCCTGGAACCCGCCCTTACCTCACTACTCATGCCCGGAATCTGCTCAAGTCTTGCTTTTGCAAATGGAATGGAACCCTTCAGGAACCTCACAGAATTCACTGGAACCTCATATCCCAGAACCTTTTGGAAGCAGCCTGGAACCATAATTTTAAGTAATTATACACACATATATATATATTGTGGATTTCACCGTGTATCCTATCGAGCCCCACCTAGTAAGAACCCTGTCCTACCGCCCCTGTCACCGACCCTGTTTCTTGTCTGATCTCAAGCGCCGCGTCCCACCCTCCACATGGCTGCGAGTAAGGTCGAAACGAGTTCGATCGGTCGGCAATGCTGGAAAATCACACTGGTTAAAAATCTTCTATCTTCTAGCTTTCTGAGTTTTTCTTTATCCATGCCAGCCGATCTCTCCGATCTGCACGTTCTTTCAATCCTGCCATTTCATCGTAGAGGCTATATCGTCCGATAGCCAAACACTCTCGAAGCATCCGACCGTCCATACTCTTAGTCAAACTATCAGCTAGCTGAGCCTGACTATGGACCCACCTCATCCTACAGTTCTCTTGAAGACGTTCTCTGATCAAGATGCACTCAAGAGTCGTTCTATATTCCTCACAGCCGGGTGTGGATGTTCGGGTGGTAATATCATAGACTGATTTACAGTCTGTAGCAACAACTGAAATCGGAGCATCTGCCAAGATCTGCTCTGGAGCTGCGATATTTATACTGGGATCCTTCGTCCACTCCCACAACAAACGTATCCACGACAGTCGATCCAATGCCCCACTTAGAGCAACAGCCTCAGCACTCAAAGTGGATCTGACAACCCTTGGGATCTTTCGCGAACTCCATGCGATCGGACAGACAATGCCCACTTCATTGTTCAAAAGCGCTGCTCCTGTAGCAAAAATCAAGCAACCTTGCCGAGAAGAGGCTTCTTTATTGGTTGCAAATGATGCATCAGAAAATGCGCAGAACGTGGTTTCATACAGCGGTATGGGCAAGATGTGAAGACAAACATGGTGAGTCTTTGCTTCATGCAACACCCGGTTCACCACCAAAAGATCCTCTACCTTTGCCCTAGTCACCTTTGACTGAATCTCCCCTACCTTTGCTGAAATATCAGGGCGAGTATTCACAGCTGCATATTGCAATGCACCAATCAGTCTTCGAAGTTCTTGCCTCTCTGAGTCAGTATCAGTCTTCGAAGTTCTTGCCTCTCTGAGTCAGTCACCGCTGCATTGGGTTCTGAGCGTCTCGATTTTGGAATCATGATGGGCTCAATTCTTTCGACATACTCTCGCTGCTCAACCTCAATAGACCCATCTGGCCATTGAAAGTATCGGACGTACAAAACTCTTCTCATGATATGCACCAAAACTGTACTTGGCTTGCAACTGTTCAAGGATCGAGTGAAAATACTGGTCCCCACCTCCCAAACCATCATCGACATGGATACCAATCATTCCCCTCAGCTGAGGTTTACCATTCTCCCCCATAGTCGCCAAACTGAACAAGCAACTATCGAATGGACAAACCACGAATCCAAAAGATTCCAGGCACTTCCTAAATGATTTGTACCATAGGTAGGGACCATCCACTCTACCATAGGCTCCTCCTTTCAATAAGCACTGATCTCCAGGTCGCATTTCAAACGCCTTGGATAGTTCTGGAGGAACATCTAAGCCAAGCCGTCTCCCATCACCCTCTCCTTTCAAGAAGGCCGTGGAGACATCAAAATTGATCAGGGACCAACCTCTTGCCGAGACATTTTGCAACAAGACCATGCGCCCATCCTTCGATAAGGTAGGGTCAGTATAACCCAAAACTACCAACCTGGCTTTGCACGACGCTCCCCCCCTGGTTGTTCTGGTGGTTTCCAAGTGAGAATCCACCGACATCGCATGATCTCTTCTGTCGCAATGTCCCTTGAGTGACTCGCTTCACAGTTTCATGATTCAACCAGGCCTTAATTTCTTTCTCCTTGGCCTGACTGAATTTTGCTCGGTCGGCTTCATTCAAATCATTCCATCGGACCTCAACCTTTTCTTTGCGAGCATTGGATATCACAAACGTATCATAAACAAAACACACATCTGTACCATGCCTAGCATCAATGGTCATTGTTGGTCCGGCGTGAAAAGAAATCTCATAACATGGACACACTGTGCTTGGAAATGAATGCTCATAGCCAAACACAAAAAGTTCATCATCTGTCTCTACAGGAATTGGAACTTCGGATGCATCCATAGGTTCATCCATGGTGTCTTCGGGAATCACGGGCGCTTCAACTTCCATGGGTTCCGTGGGGGTGTATTCTGATGCTGGTGGGGTATCTGGGTGTGACACTTCACTCTCAGGCTGGCTACCAACCCCTCCTCCTACTTCCGGAGGAACATCATCCAAAGCTACAAAATCCCTAGGACCATTTCCGTCCCTAGGCACATCATCGATCACCCCACCATCGGATCCCCGAGGAAGCGACATGTATTCCCGCAACGAAGCCGGTCTCAATTGTTCGGGACTTGCGCGAATTAGGCGGCCACAATGACTTACCCAAATGATCTTTTCGTTTTCCACTGCAACTACTTGTGAGGGACCATGCCATCTACCTCTCTCACTCCTTCCCCCACCCTTCTGTCGTCTCCAATACAAAACCCAATCCCCCTTTTCAAAGATCATTCGATCGGGTCGACTTCGTCTCAAGAGGGCACGCCTGAAACTGCTGTCGTTGTCGGCGGTGATGAAGCTTTTACGGGCTTGCTCTCGTCTTAAAAGACTCCTTCGAAACAATTGTCCTTCCGTGGAGTCACAATCGGCTATGGCATGGCTCCCGGCTTCTTCATCCGACATCAACGAACCCGGAATGGATCTTGATTTCCCCAACAAGGCTTGTTCAGGTGTAAAACCCCCAATCCTACTCAACGAGTTCTTTGCATTGAACACCTGTCTCAAACACCTACGAAATTCTTCCTCCGTGTCAATTGGGGTTTCGTTGTCCATCCGAGTCAGCATGTTCTTAATGATCGCCCCATGTCTTTCACACCTGCCAAGTTGCCAATGACTTTCGCCTGCTGACATAGAGACCCTGATGTTCTCCTTCTGAAGAAAGGTCGCCCAAGCATCGTTGACATATTCCCCAGCAGGATCCAAATAGAGCAACTTGCAAGGGCCAGCCCATTGAAGCCAGCAGTCTTCAAACAAGCGAATCTGTTCATCTACACTTCTACCCCCTGGAGCACCGGTGTGATACAAGGTCCCTTCATCAATAAAATGCATGAAATGAAACACCTTTCCCTTGGCGTTCTTCCAATAGGCCCCATCTCCACCTACCTCATCATTGAAATCCAAATCCCGATGGATTCTTCCAGGCCTACTAGTTGAGGGACCCTTCCTATGTTCTGCGCATGTGGGACACTGGAAATCAGCAATGCCCTCAAGGATCTCTCGTGAGGCTCCCCGCTCCTTCATGAATTTTTCAAACAGTTCAGGAGTGGGATGACCAAGGTTGTGATGCAGTCGACGAATCTCTCCTTGGTCTTCACCCTTTAAACGGGTGAATGCTGGCCCCGAAACTGCGATTGGCCTTGGAGCCCAACCAACATTGTGGTCGAGTTCTGACCCCTCAGGCTTTCTCTCCACCTGAGTGAGTTCTTCTCTGGTGGAGACTTCTTCAACCACGTCTTTTGGACTCCCAAACATGGTCAACGACAATCTAGCTGGTCCACATGCTCCAACCCGCTTCAACTTAGACATCTTCAACCACTCCTGGGGCGGTCCAACATCAACCACTTCACCACTAGTTCGGTGGACATAGACGGTCCTTCGAAGCGGCAGGTCATGTGTCTCCAGCCCATTCTTGGGAATCCTATATCGGTCTGTTCCCCGACAGGCGATGAAGAGGCCAAGATTCATGTCCTTTAGCTTTCGGGCCACCCTGTCAAACAGCTCCCCTTGGGTCACCTCCCAACTACCTACTCGAGGGGCCCCTTTTGAAACATCCTGCAAAATTTGTTCCCAGGTCTCTTCATCTTTAAATACTTCGGGACAGGGTTGCTTGTATCCACAACGACGGCGCTTCAGCTGAAGAGAACCAAGTGCTGCCTCCCTTGGTTCCCCCGGTCGTTTATGCCCTTCGTTTTCCTCAAAACCAGCGAGCAACTCCTCTACTAACAAAGTGTCTTCCTGCCCCCCCATCGACAACAACAAAGCCCTCACAATGTTTCTAGCCAAACACGACGTGTATGCTGCTGCAAATGCTGAAATGTTTTGTCTGTTGCCTTGTTGGTTGTGTGTCCCTTCAATGGTCTGGTGTTCGTGGGTGTTGTCACACCATCTTCCATGAAGAACTCGATGAACTTCTCGCGAGGTGGTCAACACATGCGTTCTCTTTCTCAAAAATGAGTCCTTCTTGGGCAGACGCAATCTCCCAACTTGGCATTGATCAGACGATGCCTGCAGCGTGCCTTCCAAAATCTCTCTCAACTCGTTTTGTCGAAACATATCTGAACCGGCGGGTTGTTCCAAATGAAAATGTCTTCCATGTGCAACTTGTTCCCAAAATAACATGGTACACACTCTCAAATGAACCCTCTCTCTCTCTCTCGCCTAGAATCCGTTGTCTGATTTCTGAGTCTCTACTCATGTTCAACCTCGAAAAACCACCCCACGCTTTACAGTCAGGAGCTGCCCAAATGTGAGTAGGTTCATAGAGTTTGACCCAGGTCATTAATTTGTCGATTCCTTCTGGTGTGCTTAGGTCTCCATCTCGTTTCGTGAAACGAATTGCTCCCCCAAAACGACTCATCTGTGAGGTCAATTGGGAGCCCTCAAAACAATACACCTCCAGAAGGAAGACTGGCCGATTAAGATCTGGATCCTTAGGCGGTGTCAGAGTCTGTGGACCACGTAAGGGTAACTTACTTAGACCTTCTTCAATTTGGGTTGTCACTGTCTCTAACTGTTGACAAATCTCTGACGTGGTCTTGTCTCTCGACTTGCCCTTCCGAATTGTCTGGTCATTGTCCCTCGCGAATCCTCGTGAAGAGCCATCTCGTTCACAATCTCCTGACGATCGAGCTCTCTCTGCAGAATGGCCATCTGTGTTCGTAACTCCTGTGCACGTTGATAGTTGGGTTCGACCAGCATCGATGATGTTGACGGCGGTTCTGCCAGGCTGCGCTTCTTGTCCGGTGTTGACTCCAGCATCTTTGTCCCTGGCATGGGAGACTCGACATCGATGGGCGCCCACTCTGAATCCGTCTTGGTTGACATTGCTGAGGTGGCACTTTCGCGAACTGGAATAGGTCCCTGCGCAACCATCTGCTGGGACATCTTCTTTTTCATGGCCTTGCAGTAATTCTGAAAACTCCGCATGTCGTTTGACACCAACCTCGTGTGAGACAGGATGTACTGCACATACTGCGGGTCGTTCTGGAAGACCTCTTGAAACTCCTTCTTCTTGTGCTTGCCACTCTCGAATGCCTCTTGTCCCCACTGAAGGAGATTGTGGATCCCCTTGGGTTGGCTGTAGGTCAACCTTTCGTCCGATGCCTTGCTGGTCAATGACAAGTCCTCCTCCCCGGAGAGTTCCTCCAACTGGAACTGTGGGACCATCTTCTTGAGCGCCATCAGGAGACTGACTCTCACGGGAATCGGAAGGCTTGCACGCTTGAGTCAAAGGCTGTCTCTCATTCGAATCGTTGGTCTTTCTCATTGAAATCCGAGCTGCGTTCACGGAGTCTCTGGTCGATGCTTGCTCAAATTTGCTGGTGCATTCATTGTGAATTCTGTCACGCATGCCATGTTCCAGGTGGGTCTGAGTTGTGTCCGTGTTGTCCTCTGTCGGTGTGTTGTGTATGTGGAGACATGTTTCTCCAGTTTCATCTTCAAACACAACCTTCAACAAATCTCGAATTCGAACACAGTTCAACTTCTTTCGAACCCTCCTCATCCTAACCACATCCATGCTCCCATGAAAACGAAGCTCATTCATGTGGGGATCAACTACCCCTTTCATACCCTCAACCACAGCGTTTGAGATGAGGAATGGTGTATTGCCGGGCACGACCTCGACACGCAACCAACCTTTTCCACTCCTTTCAAGAAAAAGTGCTTCCGTGCTCTGGAGCAAGCCACAATTTCCAAACCTGAAAACACACTTGGAGGGCCCCCGCTTAATCCTGACCCCTCTCAAGGATTTCAACAAAGGCTCCACTCGACTGCTCCCTATGATGGTCCGACTTGCCCCAGTATCGAGAATGGCTTAGCCTTCCTCTTCCGAAAAATGAACTGTTTCAAACTCTGGAAAACTGGCCATGGGTGGAAAGGCGGTCTTCTCCTGGCCTTTGGCCTGGCGTGTCGTTGCTGAAGCGTCATGATCAGGCCACGACATCCTCCGAGCCGATTGCAGTGCATGTTTCATCAATCCTTTAACCCGTCCTCCGTCTGAAACCATGAAACACTCTCCTACCAAGCCTGGATGGTTCTTTGGTAAACATGTCGTACAATCATGCATGAGGTTCCAATCATTCTTAAACACTCTAGTCCTCCGATCGAACCGAATTAAACACGTCGTACAAACGTCTTCCTGGAGCTCATCCGGCAAGGTCGCTGTGAGTTCCTCGGGCAGTTCTGCCAGATTGTCCTCGGCCATGCTCACCATCTCATTTCCTCGAGCTGCTCGTTCCGGGCATTCTCTCTTCCAATGGCCAGGTTTGCCGCACAAACGACATGTCGAATTCGCTATGCGCTCCGCCAGCGTTCGACGACCCGGTGGTGCAAACTGGTTTCTTTTGGATGAACCCTTCTTCCCAAACCCTTTTCCTTTCGTCGCTGGCCGAACCGGCCAAAACCCCCGATGCCGAACACGTTCACGAAGTCGGGACCGGGCCTCCTGGTAGGCAGTGAAGCAACTTGAAAGCTCCTCGGATTCCTGAACTGCCTCAACGATCTGGTCCTCAAACTCGCTCACAAAGATGGCGTCTTCATCGCCTTGTTGCATGAGCGAAGCCAAGACACTCTTTCATCAATCTCTTCATTCACAAAAAAATACCATTTCCCTTGGCATTGTGTGGATCTAAACTCGTGTCAATGTCCTCCTCCACTGAATGTACATCATAGGTTTTCAGCTTTCCCCGAGAGGTTCCCTGCAAATCCTGAAAGAACCTTGAACCCAAAAGCCTAATAGCTTCTCGGGTGGTCTCATACTTTAGGGTCCCATTGCTGTCCACGATGATGCGCTTTTTCTCTTCAGAAGAAAGGGATGAGTGCCTGACCAGTACATACGCTTGAATCTCCTTCAGGGAAACTTCATGGTCCTTCTGAAGGAGGTCCTCGAAGCATGCTTCATGGCGAGCAATGTAACTGTCGTTACTTTCATCTTGTTTCTGTTGGGTGGAGTAGATCGCCCGCTCAAATTTCAAATAACGATCTTCGGTCTTGAAGCGTCCCCACTGCACTCCCAAAGCATCTAAAATTGCCTTGCGCCCGTCTTTGGACTTCAGTCGTTCGGTGGGAATCTGTGATACCTTCTTGAAGGCGATGGCATCACACTGCAAGACAACCCTTGGTCCCAAATGTTGAATGTGTTCTTCCGGCCAAATGGAGGAAAGGAAAACCAGCTTCTTTGCGAAGTCCTCCAAATTGGTCTCTCCAGCAACGAAATGCGGGATCTGGGCCCACGGCAGCTGCGAAGCCGGCATCGTTGCCATCCCCGCCGATGCACTTGCTTCGGAGGGCATGGCTCACTCGAACCCGAGGTGAGTATGTCAACAAAAACCTTCTTTTGTTGAGAACCCCAAAACCTAACGCCTATCTAGACCTCTAGCGACCTTGCCCCTTGTTTAGGGGCTCCGCTACCAATGTGGATTTCACCGTGTATCCTATCGAGCCACCTAGTAAGAACCCTGTCCTACCGCCCCTGTCACCGACCCTGTTTCTTGTCTGAGCTCAAGCGCCGCGTCCCACCCTCCACATGGCTGCAAGTAAGGTCGAAACGAGTTCGATCGGTCGGCAATGCTGGAAAATCACAATGTATATAATATTTATATATATCATTGGAACATATTGGAACCTGCCTGAACTTTATCTGGAGCATTCTCAAATCTCTATGCTTGGAGCCTTATGGACCCTTCTAGCCTGGAGGAGCCTTTCGTGGACCGAAGACCCCAACTGCTGTTTGGAAGGGGGGATCCAGGGTTCAATAATGCTCCAGCGGTTCAGTCAGATTGGGGTAGGAAGGAGACAGCAAGAACACACAAAAAATGGTCAGAGTCACAACATGTCACAACTATCCCGACAAAGGCCGTCCTTGTTTGGCTTGTCGTGCTTCAGAGACATCAAGTCAGGAATGTGAACATAGCGTGGCGAAGGATCTTCCACTTCTTCAGAAGTCTGCATCGCGCGACCAAGCGGGTTCATTATATACAGTACTCCGCTCATCCATAAGACAAGGTGCCAATGCTTGAATGAGTTTCCATTTCAACATCCTCCCACAAGCACAGGAAAGGAAATGCCCTTCACTTCACTTTTCGTCTTGCTGATGCAAGCGAGTGGGAAGAACACAAACGAGAACATTTACAGCAACGGTTCCTTTCTTTTGTCTCAAGCAAGTACACGCCTGGCTAGCAGAAGAACCAAACACTCCATCTTCTCCGTGTGAATGAGTGCACTTGGAGCCATAGCGACAAGGTTGCCCGGAAGCAAAAAACCTACAGAGTTTTGTACCTGGCAGTCTGAAAAGGTCAATGTTGCTGCGCACAAAGGTTGCCAGTGAGGTCTCTCGCTCGCTCTCTCTCTCTCTCTCTCTCTCTCTCTGTCTGTCTCTCTCTCTCTCTCTAATCAAGACACTGCAGTATGTTGTTCACATCCAAACACACCTTCTTCAGAACAAAGCCACAAACATAAATTGGAATGAATTGGAGAATACATGACTGCCATCGATAGATTGATATGTTGACTTGTTCCCATGCGTTTCACGCGCGGCCTGACAGGTTCGGTTTGTCACGAAGCTGCGACTCATCATGGGCAAAAGTGCACTGGTCACCACGGGAACATTTTTTCCTGCCATCGTAGAACCGCTTGAGCGTCGGCAAACATGTTTTTTTAAAGCAAAAGCGACATGATTCATCTATCGTTCTTGAGGCGGCGGGGCCTTAGCTTTAAATCGTTTTTCCCCAGATAGCGAAGCTATGGGGTTTTTACTTCAAATAATTAATAGTGAGTTGCCCGTGCGCGCTTTCGAGACAGGTTGCTGGCGCTGGGCGCCGGTGCTGGTGCTGATGCTGTGAGCTGGCTGTGCACGTGGTGGAGACAGGTTGCTGGTGCTGGTGCCGGGCGCCGGTGCTGGTGCTGGTGCCGGGCGCCGGTGCTGGTGCTGGGTGCCAGGTGCCGGTGCTGGTGCTGTGAGCTGGCTGTGCACGTGGTGGAGACAGGTTGCTGGTGCTGTTGCCGGGTGCGTGCCCAGGTTCCTGGTGTTGGTGCCGTGCTGGTGCTGGTGCTGTGCACGTGGTGGAGACTTGCTGGTGCCGGTGCTACCGGGTGCCGGTGCTGGTGCTGGCGCTGTGAGCTGGCTGCGCACGTGGCGGAGACAGGTTGCTGGCGCTGGTGCCGGGCGGTGGTGCTGGTGGTGGGTGCTGGGTGGGTGCCGGTGCTGGTGCCGGTGCTGTGAGCTGGCTGTGCACGTGGTGGAGATTTGCTGGCGCCGGCGCTACCGGGCGCCGGTGCCGGTGCTGGTGCTGTGAGCTGGCTGCGCACGTGGCGGAGACAGGTTGCTGGTGCTGGTGCCGGGCGGTGGTGCTGGTGGTGGGTGCTGGCTGGGTGCCGGTGCTGGCGCCGGCCAGGTTGCTGGTGCTGGTGCTGGGTGTCGGGCGCCGGTGGCTGTGCACGTGGTGGAGACAGGTTGCTGCTGCTGGTGGTGCTGGGCGCCGGCCGGTGCTGGTGCGCACGTGGTGGAGACAGGTTGCTGGTGCTGGTGCTGGTGCCGGGTGCCGGTGCTGGTGCTGGGTGCCGGTGCTGGTGCTGAAGCTTGCATATATGTGGCGATCTTTTTTGCCCAGATAGCGAAGCTATGGGGCTCTTACTTCAAATAACAATGAGCTGCCTGCGCGCGCTTTCCAGACAGGTTGCCGGCGCTGGTGTGGGCGGTGGAAACAGGGCGCCAGCGCTGGGCGCCGGTGCCGGGCGCTGGTGCGGGCTGTGGTGCTGGTGCTGGGTGCTGTGAGCTGGCTGCGCGCGTGGTGGAGACACGGTGCTGGGCGCTGGCAGCGCGCATGGTAGAGACAGTGGGCGCCGGTGCCGGCGCTGGCAGTGTGTGTGGCGGTGATTGCCGGTGCTGGGTGGTGGCTGTGCGCGTGGTGGAGACAGGGCGCCGGGCGCTGGTGCTTGGCGCTATACCGGTGGGCGCTGGTGCTGGGCGCCGTAAGCTGGCGCGCCGGTGCTCGGTGCTGGTGCCCGCTTCTGACAGTGAAGTGATAACAACCGCCGCTTCTGTCAGTGAAGGGTAACAAACCGCCGCTTGCAGCAGTGAAGGGCGACCAAGCGCCGCTTCTGACAATGAAGTGCAAGTATAGTCATGGGCCGCATGAACTTATGCACGTACGGTGTTGTCGCTTGAGCGTTCTTTGTCTATTAGCGCTGTGGGGTATTTACATCCTTCAGGTTCTGTTTTGGCCGACAGCTGTGTCAAGGGCTGTACTGTTTGCGCGCATACTTTTGTACGTATAATATTCTATGCGTCAGGCTCTCAACCGACCATTGTACCAGCATGTTTCAGCGTGCTACACACACAATAGTCGTGCTGGATACTGCTTGGCCTTGGGCGAGTGAAGCCTACGGGCTTTGCCGATTGCGCGCATACTTTTGCGCGCATAAACTTGTACGCGCAAGATCATACGGCCTTATCGTTCTGCAGGTCGTTGCTTCAAGCATGCTACAAAGTCAATAGCGGCGCTGGCTGCTGCCTGGCCTTGGGCCAAAGACACTTACGGGCTTTGCTGTTTGCGCGCGTACTTTTGTGCGCATAAACATATACGCGCAAGATCCCCAAGTAGGGATAGCTATGGGGTTCTTGCTGCAAATAAGAATGAGCTGGCTGCGCGCTCTTTCAAAAGGGTGTCGGTGCTGGTGCTGGTGTTGTGGTCCTGGGTGCTGGTGCTGTGAGCTGGCTGAGCGCGCGTTTAAGACGGGCGGCGGTGCTGGCCGGGTGCTGGCGTCAGCTGATTGTGCGAGGTGTCGTAAGCTGGCTGCGCAGGCTGCGTGCATTCTTGTTCCAGCCAGTCGCATGTCAACAGGTCGTGGGATTCTGCCTAGCTATCTGGGTCTATGCTGGTGTAATTCCATGTTTTTCCAGCTTTCAGTAAACCTTTTCAGGGCCGCTCTACACCAAATTGGTCATCGCCGGCTTTGGCGATTGCTCGTACACGTTGATGCAATTCCGTGCGGCGCCCATCAATTCAGTGTGCTCTTGAGAAGCAAAGCGTGCTTGATGCGCCGTTTGCCTACAATATGCATTCCACCACGATAGCAAAAAACAGGGACATGAGTTCTCGCTGCAGGATAGGTGGTCAAAATTTGTGGTAGTTGGTTTTCTTGTGGCGCTGGCGCTAGTGGCGCCGGTGGTGCGGGTGCTGGTGGCAGTGCTGGTGGTGGTGAGTCATCACAGCACGTCGCGACCTAACCCCCGCCTGAAAACACAGACTCCCACACATGTATTTTTACAATCCCATACCACACCATACATTGTATTTTTGAAGTTTGTGCGATTTCGTGTTTCGAAGTACACCCGTGATGTTTCACATGCGCGTGTGGTCATTGCCAGAACTCCAAACTTGCTTTTGTGTTTTCTTCTCTCTTCTGCGACTCGAAATTTGCATAACTTTCATTTCCATCTGCCCAAATAATCCCAAATAAATCCAAATAGACCGCATCACTAGCATCGCCTTCTGCCGCAATGCCACAAAAAATCGGTTTCTGGCACACCCAAAAGGTCGCAAATAGACAACTTCAGCCTTGCCTGTCGGTGAGACCCAAAAAAGAATTACACCGGGTTCAAAGGACACGCCACGGACGGCTGTCACCGCAGCACGCAACATCAGACCAGTCCACCAATATGCGCAACATCTATTGGCTGAATGCGCCCCCTTGGCCCAACACAGACGTAAAACTGCAAGATCGGCAAGGACCAGCCAAAGCAGCCCAAACGACACTATCATTGCTGCGCAACACGTTGTCACGCACATCCCTGCCATGATATGATGTCGTCCCTGCCATGACATGATGTCACCCCGGGCATGACATGATGTCATTCTGGGCACGACATGATGTCTTCCCTCGCACGGCTGGCATCTCACGATGCCATTGTGGGCATGACATGATGTCTTCCCTGGCACGACGCGATGTCATCCCTGGCATGACATGATGTCGCCCCTGGCCTGACATGATGTCATCCCTGGCATGACGGGATGTCATTCTGGGCACGGCATGATGTCTTCCCTGGCATGACTGGCATCTCACGATGCCATTGTGGGCATGACATGATGTCTTCTCTGGCACGACACGATGTCATCCCTGACATGACGTCGTCCCTGGCCTGACATGATTTCTTTCTGGGCGTGACATGATGTCATCCCTGGCATGACATGACGTCGTCCCTTCACATGACAGGATGTCTTCCCTGCCCTGACATGAGACGTCGTCCCTGGCATCCCTGGCGTGACATGATGTCATTCTGGGCATGACATGATGTCGCCCCTGGCGTGACATTGTGTCACTCTCGGCATGACACGGCGTCGTCCCTGGCGTGACAATGCTGTCCTCCTTGGCGTGAGGCGACGTCATCCCGTCATCCCTGGCATGACATGCTGTCATCCTGGCATGACATGTTGCTGTCCCTTGCGTGGCATGATGTCGTCCCTTTGCATGACAGGATGTCGTCCTTGGCGTTATGATGTCATCCCGTTGTCCCTGGCATGACACGTTGTCGTCCCTTCGCATGACATGATGTCGTCCCTGGCATGACAGGATGTCATCCCTGGCATGACATGATGCCCCCTGGCGTGACACCATGTCAATCTCTATATGTGGATGAGAAAAGTTGTTTGTGGATGGTTCTTGGTGCAGAATACAGAAGTAGTTTGGAAGCAGGCTTTGTAGGAGTTCTACAGCAAAGTTCCGTTGAAAAGGCGTTGGGGGATGATTTGGTCGGAACTTGGGGGACAGCATCATAAAACATTGTGGTGAAAAAAACTAGCTGCTGGCACTAAAGGTCGGCCAGAAGGTTTCCGGCAGTTTGGAGAACCTGCTTCCGGGTCGGGCCCAGCATGACACTGATCAGGGAGGGTGAGACGTTCTTCCCCTTATTTTGACGATCGAGAATCATTTTTGTAGAGCCGCCTAGCGTGGCCAATCCCACCGCCGCACACCAGTGCCAAGAGGATGCTGCAGGGCCGGCAGGTCAAGGGCTGGCAGGTCAGCACCTCAGCAAACCCTCCACCACCAAAGCAAAGGACACCGCTGGTCCACCGGGCCCTTACGGCCAACCAACGAACACCCCAAGTCCCGAAAAACCACGCAAAGGCTTGTGCTCCTCGGCCCAGTTTGTTTCTTGAATGCGGGGACACACAAGTCCGCACAACTAGAGGGGACACTTGGGTCAACCCTGCATCACAGAATGACACGCAAGTCCAAAAACCAGCCTCTTGCACCAAGAGCTGGCATGCCCTGCATCGTGGCTCAATCGTCACTCCCCAAGAAATTCACACGTCCAGGATGCTGGCGTTGGTTGAAATCCCAACTTAATTGGATTTTGTGGCGCAGTTAATTCATAGCCCGTGTGTAGTGAGGCCCTTGGTCTGCAGGCAATAGCAAAGGGCGCAGCATCGTCGCAATCCGATGCTGCTCTGTGGGCTATCCCGCTGACACAATTCAGAACCCAAGGACCACCAAAGGGTCCCTTGGCCCCAAATCACCTAGAAGATCTGGAAAGCCGTCTTCATCACTAGAGGCTGCTAGGGAGCAGGGGCTATGTGGTTCTTGGCAAGAGGCTGGTTGGCTTCATCCTCAAGTTTCAATCAAGGGCAACAAACCGCACTCTTGTGGCACTTGAGGGGCCAGCCTCCTTGCACTGCCGCTCTGGCATTCCAGCTGTGCGCTGATGTCATTGCGACCATACAGGTCCACACATCTATTGCTTGCCACTTTGTGGTGGCCCTGCGCAGCACGAAGAGCTGGGGCAACACCGTGAAGGTTGGCATAGGTCAGCAATGTGGCTTTCAAGGAATGTAGGGTGAGCTGCGCCGCAAATTCAGGAGCTACATTCCCATGCGCGCACAGGCAACGCCTGAACTGAGCTAAGCCAACACTATAGCTCATGGGACCCCAACAAACTGCAAGAGGAAATCCCTTTTTGGATGCTGCAGTCGTATGGCATCAATGCGCCGAAACAAGGCCGTGCCCCAATGGCTTGAGCGAAATCCTACTGTGTGGCAGCCCCACACAAAAAATATCAATCACCACTACAACCTCAACCCAGCCAGGAGCTGCCACTGAAGCTGCCAACCGCAAGAATGGAGGTGCATGGAGGTGAGGGTTTGCAGTATCACCTAAAGGTGATCTGGTCCTACCCTGGCACAGCCGCATTGTGTTTTGTTTTAGCCCTGGCCGTTTCTAACGGTTTGCATACAGCCATTAAGAGTCATGAGAGCTTTGGTGTTTTCTTTCTGGGCCGTTGTCAGCAGCCTGTGCACTCACTGTACGGGGATTCTTTCTGTTGCTCTTCCTCCGCTGAGTGGGACCACTTATATAGATACATGACGCGGCATCTTGTAGTTATAATTTGATTGCGATGTATTGTATTGCGTCATATGAACGAGTTAACTCTACAAATACAGTATTGCTTCTCCTCCCCGTCTTCCCTGTTCAAAGGGGGCGGACAGACCCCAGGCCACCTAGTGACTCGTGACAATAAAGGTCAAGGAATCTGTGCAAGCAGAAGTTTCAAGGTCAATGTTGTATTTGCAAGGGACAGGCCTGCAAGACAGTTTTCCTAACATGCATAATTAGCTGCATAATGGATGATCAACATCGCAATCATTTGATGCTCTTGCAAATACTTACAATTGACATTTGCATGGTGTATAAAGGAGGAAACGATTGAAATTTGCAAGCACGAAGGAATTGCCGTCCTCAGATGGAATTTGCACATTGAAGTATAGCTGAGAGCTGGCAAACCTGGCACAAAGGCGCAGGGTCAGGCAATGCACAGCTGTTCAATCTTGCAAGCAAACCTGCAAATGCCATAATGTAAAGTCTACCAAGTTGAAACTCCTCCGTCAACCAGACGTGTCGGAAACAGCAAATGATTGATAAAGTATGATAAAGTGTGCTGATAAGGTTGCTGATAGGCACCAGTGCACTGCACCCACACTCACAGCCTGGTGGATTCTCCGGACTGCGCTGCGCACGTCGGAAGCGGCGGGTTCGGCTCTCCAATGACATGGCTCTGCCCCTTTTTAGCGTTGTGATCGCCGGGCACGTGTGCAAGACGGCTGCGGGGTCAGCACAAAAGCTCCAAGATCGCGAAAGCTTGCACGATGCAATTTTGTGTTATTCAAACAAACTAGTAAGGTGAGAGATCAATGCAATCATTGATTGATCCTGCAAATTAGCAGAGATAAAATAAGACAAGTGCTTTCGAAGCTTCCTCTGAGAAAAACATCCCAGGGCCCACCCTGATGGACACATCGGTCTGCGTGTGGAGCTGAGCAAGCTCTGCATCCTGGATATATGTGGAACAAAGGTGAGGTCGTGGATTGCTTTAAGTCAGTCCAGTCTTGAACCACCCAACAAAGCCTAGCGGCCTAGCAGCCTTGCACGATAAAAGCCGCTAACTCAAAACTAGACTGACAGGCGATGACAACCGGACATGTGAAAGATTTATAGGATTTCATGGGCACACCTGTGCCTGACGAAAAAGCCGCGACCACTGGCCAGGCGCTTCATCTGAGCTGTGTTTTGAGTGAGTTCAGCCCTATCCTTGAGAAGCTTCTCGGCTTTCTCCGCCTAGAGGCAAATTGGCATCAGCGATGAAACTTGCAAACGGTCATCTACTATCTACTACAATAATATCTGTCGAGCCAAAAGGAAAACAAAAACGGGCGTCGCAGCTCGGCGATGTGCGTGGTCAAAGCCACCCTTGCTATCATATCATATCTCCCAAAGATTAATTGCTGGCTGTCTGCCCAGACTGCAGTGTCTCAATACACTACATCACCACCATCTACTCAGCCTGGCCCTGCCTGCGACATGATACTCTTCTCCGATCTGTTCGGGCCGGTGACCCTTGAGCCCGGCCACGAGGCGCAGCTCTGACCAGCAACAAAATGCAACAAGCATGGTTTCAATCACCAAGTTACAGACTTCACCGACATATGTGTTTAAAACCATTTTTTGCTGTAGCTGAGATGCCCAGTTGTTGCAAAGAACGTCGGGAAACTCCTTGCACACCCTGTTCCAGAGTCCCCCCCATAGTTCGCTCCGTCCATGGGCCCTCCAAGACTGGCAGCTTGTTCTGGCTCAGTTGAAGCTCCTGAAACGGCAGGATTCGACTTTGTCACTGTGCACCCGCCATGTTTGCAGCTCGTGTCTCACAAGATTCACAAGACTTTTGGAGCAAAATTGGTTTCACAAGTCAATGCCTCCCTCTCGATGAAGACTTGCCAAACATTGAACGGTCCACTAGCCGCAGTATTCCGATTGACTTTGATTGATTGTAGACGCAGGTTGCTTTGGAAGGGTTAGAGCGGACTGCCTCCAGAGCTGCCGCTTCATTGATCCCTGGGTGTCAAAGCAAACTGATTCGCTCACTCGCTTATCTCACTTTCTTCATCCCCTCTCAGCATTTGGCAGTGTCCAGTGCAGAAATCAAAAGTACAATTCTCAGGATCTAGTCACATCTTCCTCGAGGTCCGCTGGCATTGAGAACTGTGTGGTGCTAAGGCCACTGCCATTGAGATCTGCCAGCTCATTGTCTGAGGCCTCATGGGGAGATTCCGTCCAAAGAAAGCTTGAGAAGCAACTGACCATACCATAAGATGTTCCTTCAATCACTCAAGTACCTCAATAATCTGTTCATCTATAATCCCCGCACATACACACACAATGCCTTTTCTGTTAAGCACTGTGCACAGAAGCTAGAGCACCTGAAGCCCTCTTTGGCAAACATGCACATGCGCAGCTTCAAAACGACCTCCAAAGGTCTTGGATTGCCTTACCCAGCCACCATGCAAAGGTAGGCAAATACTGCAAACAAGTTCAGGAGATCCAGCAGCATAGATATGCCATGTACCATGCCTTGGTCTTGAACGCAAGCTAAACTTGGTTGAAGTTGAAGGAAAACTTGTCGCGAGTTGACGTGAAGATGTTTTCCGCTCTGGCACCAGCTACAGCTGCAAGCTGCGCGTATTTCCTTGATCTTCCGAGTGGCCAAATGTCTTCTTCACATCAGAACTCCCATCCAGCAAAGGCTGGTCTGCACTTCCGGTGGAAGTGTCATAGAGCTTGACCTGAAATTTTCTGGGCCAAAAGTGTTCACCACGCTACTCTCGCCCAACAACCCTGAGCGTGTGAATGCAGTTATCCGCCCTGCAGCATGGACAGAGAATGAAGTTCGAAGTAGTAGTAAGTAGTAGTAAATAGTAAGTAGTACGTAGCAGAAGAAGAAGTAGTAGTAGTAGTAGTGCTAGTGGTAGTAGTAGTCATAGTAGTAGTAGTAGTAGTAGTAGTAGTAGTAGTAGTGGTAGTGGTAGTGGTAGTGGTAGTGGTAGTGGTAGTGGTAGTGGTAGTGGTAGTGGTAGTCGTCGTCGTAGTAGTAGTAGCTGTTGTTGTAGTAGTAGTTGTGGTAGTTGTTGTGGTCGTAGTAGTGGCAGTAGTCGTAGTAGTAGTTGTTGCTGTTGTTGTTGTCCTGGTAGTAGTAGTAGTAGTAGTAGTAGAAGTGGTAGTAGTAGTAGCAGTAGTAGTAGTAGTAATAGTAATAGTAGTAGTCTTTCTACACACGGAATTCTCACGATTCTCAGGGGTGACTAGGAGCAGTTGTGTCCATAAGGTACGCGCAATTTGCAGTTAACCATACTTGCAAATTTAGTTACGCCTCGCTAGTGGCATAAACAACTTACCACACAGCACCTGAGGGGTGGTTGGGAGTGTGTTAGCGGGAGGACTACCAGATTCATCCAGGACTTTCATGTTTCATACCCATGCTGCTAGGCACGTCTTTTGCAAGGGCAAACCACGGCTGGCGGGAGCCGCGCGTCCATATGGGCCCTCATACACTACAAGGACTTTCAATGACAATCGGGGTGGTCAACCTTCTTCCAAACGTCAAACTGCGCCATTCAAACGTGCCTCTCTTGTTCTCCCACATCTACATTCCCCCCGCCAGGATAGGCTCCTAAGGAGTGCTTCAACCAACAACTTACACATGGTGCCCTGCTTGTCGTAGCGCAACCAGCCCACTGACAAAGGAGGAAAATTCAAACAGGACCTGGCACAATATTGCTAGGTCAGCTATGCGGCGAAGCGGTTAGCTAACTGTCCAATGTTGAACCAGCAGGGTTAGTATTTCCCAGTCATAATGTCACAACAAGTCTTGCAAAATGTGTGCAAAACCATCTCACCGGCGCCGATACTTACAACTTTCAACTCCCAACTTCAGAAGAGAAAAGAGATGAAAAAATACATGTTATATAGGTAAGGCATGGTAAGGCTACACTGTTCGCGCTGTCGCAAATCCATCAACGATCCCTCAACACAAACACAGGGGGACGGATCTATTGCAGCCTGCTCTTGCACAAGGTTGCGGACATGTCACAACAACAGGCGAACACACACACACATACACACTTATAGAAACGCGTACTGATTTGGTCGCGGTTTGCCACACGCCAGCCTAAGCAAAAAACCTAAGAAGTCAGGTGAAGTAAGATGAACCTGAAAAGTTCTAAGAAGCGGTTCGTGCAAGACTCCAAACTTCAAATCAGTTTCAAAAGTCAAATTGACAAGCAAACTCGAGCGACGCACGCATTAGCCCTTGACTGCACATCTGCCGACCTCTGAAACCTCACCAGCCTGGGATCTAGAGTGGATTGCGGGTACGTCGACAGGACGTCTCCCGTCAATGTCACGAGCAAGAGATAGGAGTTCTCGTTGGCACCGGCCCTATCCCTGCTCCAGGCGCCCCCTGCTGAAGAAAGAAGAAAAGTGAACAAACATTCCAAACGGACCCTTTTGATTCCAAAGGTTACACACACACACACACACACACACGCCTTTCCGAGGGGAGGCGTTTCTTTTCAATCACTCTAAGGTCCCGGCGGGTAGAGGGGGGTAGGGAAAGAAAAAAGAAGAAAGAAAAGGGGAAGAAGGTGTTCCCAGCTACGACACAAGCGTGCACCAAAAGAAGAGAGGAGAAGGGTTCCCAGCTATGACGAAAGCATCCAGGGACACCCAAACAAGAAGGAGGGAAAGGAAAGGAAGGAGAAAAGAGAGAGAGGGAAAAGAGAAGGAAGATTGCAGAGGACAGGTGTTCCCAGCTACGACCAAGCGTCCAAGGACACACCAGGGAGAGGGGTGAACCTGAGTATTACATTCAGGAACACCCCAACAAGCGAAGGGGGAAGAGAAGGAGGGTGGGGGGAAGAAGGGGATTTTATATAGGTAAGGCATGGTACCTCTTTGCGCTGTCGCAAATCCATCAACGATCCCTCAACACAAACACAAAGGGACGGATCTATTGCAGCCTGCTCTTGCACAAGGTTGCGGACATGTCACAACAACAGGCGAATGATTTGGTTGCGGTCTGCCACACGCCAGCCTAAGCAAAAAACCTAAGAAGTCAGGTGAAGTAAGATGAACCTGAAAAGTTCTAAGAAGCGGTTCGTGCAAGACTCCAAACTTCAATCCAGTTTCAAAAGTCAAATTGACAAGCAAACTCGAGCGACGAACGCATTAGCCCTTGAACGCACATCTGCCGACCTCTGAAACCTCACCAGCATGGGCTCTATAGAGTGGATTGCGGTTACTCAACGCCACGCACAGTTGCAGGTAGGTCGACAGGACGTCTCCCGTCAATGTCACGAGCAAGAGATAGGTGTCCTCGTTGGCACCGGCCCTATCCCTGCTCCAGGTGCCCCCTTCTGAGGAAAGAGGAAAAGTGCAACAAACATTCCAAACGGACCCTTTTGATTCCAAAGGTTACACACACGCGCCTTTCCGAGGGGAGGCGTTTCTTTTCAATCACTCTAAGGTCCCGGCGGGTAGAGGGGGGTAGGGAAAGAAACAAGAAGAAAGAAAAGGGAAGAAGGTGTTCCCAGCTACGACACAAGCGTGCACCAAAAGAAGAGAGGAAGGGTTCCCAGCTATGACGAAAGCATCCAGGGACACCCAAACAAGAAGAAGGGAAAGGAAAGGAAGGATAAAAGAGAGAGAGGGAAAAGAGAAGGAAGAGGACAGGTTCCCAGCTACGAACAAGCGTCCAAGGACACACCAGGGAGAGGGGTGAACCTGAGTATTACATTCAGGAACACCCCAACAAGCGAAGGGGGAGGAGAAGGAGGGTGGGGGGAGGAAGGGGATTAAGACTCCGACAGGTTCGAACGAACCTTCAAAATACTTTGACCACAGTCACCTTGCGCCCTGCCAAAATGGCTGGCTGCTTAGACCGCTGCGGTCACGTAAAGGCATAAGCCAGGCTTGGAATTCAATAATTCAGCAAGTCTTGGCAAATAACTTTGGCCTATGCCTACTTCACCCGCTCTGGGCGCGTACATCTCCGGGCAGGGGAGATAAAGACAAACCCCCGTTCGACGGGTCCATAGGGGCCACTCTGCGGGGTCACCCTGGGCTCTCACGAGGAGAGACACACTTATAGACGCCAGCCTAAGTGAAAAACCTTTAAGAAGTCAGGTGAAGTAAGATGAACCTGAAAAGTTCTAAGAAGCGGTTCGTGCAAGACTCCAAACTTCAAAATCCAGTTTCAAAAGTCAAGTTGACTCGTTGACAAGCAAACTCGAGCGACGCACGCATTAGCCCTTGAATGCGCATCTGTCGACCTCTGAAACCTCCCCAGCCTGGGCTCTATAGAGTGGATTGCGGTTACTCAACGCCACACACAGTTGCAGGTACGTCGACAGGGCGTCTCCCGTCGATATCACGAGCAAGAGATAGGTGTCTTCATTGGCACCTGCCCTATCCGTGCTCCAGGTGCCCCCTGCTGAAGAAAGAGGAAAAGTGCAACAAACACTCCAAACGGACCCTTTTGATTCCAAAGGTTACACACACACACATCAACCCCGAGCTCAAAGTCTTCGGTGTAAGACACCATGAGTTGAGCAGTTCTCGGTCCAAGCACCAGTTGGTTCACCAAGGCCAACATTGTAGCAATGGTCATCAACAGCTTGGCCCATGAGCTTGGAGCACCACCCAACGCAAGTATGCAAGAGCCACTCTGGAGGGCAAAATATTCAGGAAAACAAGCCGCCTCGGGGACGCAAGGCTTCAGAATCTGCCAAAGTTCACAAAATTTGCTTTTAAAGAGTCCAGCAAGCACAAAATATATAAATATGTTGACATTTGCACCGTGAGACAACTGATAAAATGTGAAACTGCACCTAAGACCCTTGCATCGGATTGGATTACACATTACACCCTGTTGTTGTTATTTCATCTATCCCACTTAGTTTGAACATATTGCAATGTTCAAGCTTACATTCTGGCTAGATCCCCCTGCTGTGAATTCACCCTAACCCTTAGAAATGTCATTTTACACATCCAAATTGCGACCAGCAGGGTTCTGCGCAATAAAATCTGGAGACCAAAGGTAGAAAAGGCTTCAGAATATAGAATCACACCTCCCAGGGTTGCAATCCGGACCTGATGAGACCTGCTGCCCCAACCCAATGGCAATACCAGGTCGATGTGGCCTCATTCTAGCGACCAACGGACTTCGATGCTCTCCGATGATCCCCAACACTTACTCCTCATGTGTCATCTATAGAAGCAGGTTTCCAAAGGAAAAAATGATTTGTTTGCTTTCATGTGCTCCACGGCATCGTGCGCTGGAGTTTGTTGGGCTGGAGTTTCAAGCTGTGTTTCCATACCAACGTTTTCTTATAACATACTCTTGCTGGTTTACTTCAATCTTTTGTTTCTGTTATTAGTGTCTTATTCTTACTTCTCTCTGCGCCCAACATCTTGCTACCCGCACACAATCACATACACGCTCAAATCCATTGACGGTTCTCCATAAAACCAAGCGCCATAGATAAGTCTCTATAAAATGATCTCCGCAAAATCTACCTATCCACATTCTTCGAGTGTATGATCTGATCTATCATCAAAACCCACTCCTCTATAAAATCCACGCACCCAGGGTTCATTTTGCCCAAAAGCCGTGGTTTCTATAGAATGACCACCGCCAAGCAGGGTCATTCTATAGAGAACCATGGAATTGTTCCTCTACGTACCCAAAATGTACCGCCAGAAGTCAATGGTTCATAGAAGAAATGCACACACCTATGTGGCTACGTAGCCTGAATGGCGCTGAAAGCTTCCTTTCCAAGCCAAGTCGATTCCTTGCAGCACACTGCATACATTCGAGGGCCATATCTGAGCAGCCATACCTCACAACAAATGGACACGTCTGCTTCTTTGCTGGTTACGTGCTAAATTCAAAAGTATTCAAAAGTGAATCCACTGTTTCAGGCAAGGCTAGGCGAACTAGGTGGAGATGCGGTGACACAACGCAAGATTTTCCATTCGTTCAGTCGGAGTGAAAAGCTGACAATGGTGACATGTTACATGAATTTCTCAGTGGCAGAGGTGAAACAAAACTGTTCGGCAAAGCGACGTTGCTACCAAACGCATAGGCTGCACCAAGCAAGGCGGTGATGTTGCATAGATCTTGGAAGCAACGGCAATCAATTTGATGGATTGGAAAACACTAGTGACTTGGTCACTAACTAAGTAATCACTATTGGTCAATAGTGACGTAAACAACTGTGTAACAGACGGTGCGCGTGGACACTTTCTGAAGTAAGCACTTGTGTGTGCAAAATTCTGGGCAGCATATTCTGCCCTGGGCGCTACGGCCAACGGTCGTGCACAATAGCGAGCTGACTCAAGAATACCGCGCGCCTAGATCATTTTTAGAGCTACTTGTTTGATGAACTGTGAATAGGTGTATACATTAGATACCTCGCATACCGCATTTCCAACTTGTTCTTAAAACATGGTTGTTTCAACTATATACAAAACGCAGCACCGAAACCGAAACCGATGCCGACCGAAACCGAACCGATCGCAAACGCCGAACCGAAACGACGAACCAATACAACGAATACAACGCCGCATCGAACCGATACCAAGCCGAGAAAAACACGCAAACCGACCGCTGACGCCGAACCGATTGCGGCTGCCTCACCAAGACCATTTTGCAACAACCTTGACTAGAAAGGGCAGGTATTTTTGATAATGCACCAACTTCGCGCAGGCAAACTTTTCTGATTGCTTTTCCACACACACCCTCCATTCAGCCTTCATTGTATTATACTCCATTTAGACCGTGGATGTTCTTGAGCCTTTTTTCACCCCTGAGCAAATTTGTTTTTCCTGATTGGCTAAATCCTTGGTCGCACACTGCAAGTCCGGAACTTCCTTATTTTTATCGATTTTGGTAGGTTCTGGCCACGCCTGAGCAGACATCGAGCTGGAAGTTTGTTTTCTTGTCAATCTACGGGACGGAGAGAATTCTCTAATTCCTGAAAGCATTGCGAAGGGTTCTTCCGGAAAATCCCTTGAACACTGACACTTCGACACTTACACTTACACACTGACACTTCCACCACATTCGCACTACATACACTGACACTTCGACACTGACACTTACACATACACACTGACACTCGGCAAGCGCGCAGTGTAAGTATGCAAGTGATGGGCACGCAAGCATGCATTGAGCATGCAAGCATGCAATGAGTAGGCAAGTGTGAGTATGGAAAACTAGCACGGGAGATGTCCTAATGAAAAAACCTTTATAAATTCTCTCTTAAAGGCGGAGGGCGGGACGAACAGCGTCAACCAAAAGTGCAACCCTCTGCGGAGATCGTGCGCGTCGAGCGCGCGAAATGCAGGCGAGAGTGCGATTTGTCCGGTCCGCGCGCAACCCTCTGCGGAGATCGCGCGTGTCGAGTGCGCGAAACGCAGGCGAGAGTACGATTTGTCCGGTCCGCGCGGGCGAGTGTGCGATTTGCCGGCTGCGCGCGCAACCCTCTGCGGAGATCGTGCGTGTCGAGTGCGCGAAATGCAGGCGAGAGTGCGATGTACCGGCTGCGCGCGCAACCCTCTGCGGAGATCGTGCGTGTCGAGTGCGCGAAACGCAGGCGAGAGCGCGATGGGGCGTGTGCGCGCGCAACCCTCTGCGGAGATCGTGCGTGTCGAGCGCGCGAAGTGCAGGCGAGAGTGCGATTTACCGGCTGTATACGCGCGCAACCCTCTGCGGAGATCGTGCGCGTCGAGCGCGCGCAATGCTGGCGAGTGTGCGATTGAGTCTGTGCGCGCGCAACCCTCTGCGAAGATATATATCGATGGACGCCTTTCCTCTGACAGGTCACTGCTTCGAGACGCTTCTGGCGTGGCTGCCTCAGCATTTTCTGTGTTCATTCCAGCTCGGTTTTTTCAGTGAGATTCCCTGCAGCCGTGCACTCGGTTTTTTCATTCTCCCCTTACCAGCAGCTCACACGCTCATGACGATGAGCTGGGCTGTCACCGCTTGGCCGCCGGTGGGGGTTTGGGAGGCCTGCGCGCTACTTCGTTCATCTCCTCTGACAGGTCACTGCCTCGAGACACTTCTGGCGTGGCTGCCTCCGCATTTTCTGTGTTCATTCCAGCTGGGTTTTTTCAGTGAGATTCCCTACACCCGTGCACGCTGCTTCTCCCCTTACCAGCAGCTCACATGCTCACGACGATGAGCTGGGCTGTCACCGCTTGGCCGCCTGTGGGGGTTTGGGAGGCCTGCGCGCTACTTCGTTCATCTCCTCTGACAGGTCACTGCTTCGAGACACTTCTGGCGTACCTGCCTCGGCACTTTTCTGTCCTCATTCCGGTTCGTTTTTTTCCGTGAGCTTTTCCTGGCGCCGTGCACGCTGTTTCTCCCCTTACCAGCAGCCCAAATGCTCACGACGATGAGCTGGGCTGTCACCGCTTGGCCGCCGGTGGGGGGTTTGGGAGGCCGCATCACACACAGACACCCACACACTGCCTCAACATACACGAACACACACATACGCAGACTCATTTCCACACGGACATAGATACACGCACAGAAACCCACACACTACCTCAACTCACTCGACTTCACACTTGACTTCACACTGCACACTTAACAGATAACTCGCACTCTGACTTCCTACGTGATGAAAAATGCTTTCGGGCCACTCGTCGTCTAGTAGATTTTCACTGTTCGCACCCGGCCCAAAGGAGCAGGTCTTGACTCCTCTACACAGACAGAGAGAGAGAGAGAGGGAGCGAAAGAGGGAGAGTCACGAGCGCAGGGCATGGGCAAGTTTATACTGCGTTTAGTGCGTTTATACTCCTTTGGCCCTGCCCTCTTCACACTTGAACAATTCACTTTTTCATGGTTTGGGGTGAGAAGGGCTTACTCCTTTACAAAGAAAGAGAGGGAAAGAGAGAGGGAGCGAAAGAGGGAGAGTCACGAGAGCAGGGCATGGGCAAGTTTATACTGCGATTAGAGTGCGTTTATACTCATTTGGCCCTGCTTTCTTCACACTTGAACAAGTCACTTTTTCATGGTTTGGGGCGAGGGCTTGCTCCTTGACACGGAGCTACACTCTCTCTCATTGAGCTGCGTGCACCCTTTTGGGACTGGTCGCCACGGCAGCTCTGCAGGCGTCTTTCGCCGGGGTGCTGCCAGCAGTTTCTGCTGTAAAAAAAATTTCTCGAGCCCGACCTGCGGTCGTTTGGCTCTGCGTGTCACTGCGCACATGTTCCACGTGCTTCACGACACGGAGCTACACTCTCTCTCATTGAGCTGCATGCACCCTTTTGGGACTGGTCGCCACGGCAGCTCTGCAGGCGTCTTTCGCCATGTCGGCCGCCTGCCTGCTTGTCCCCGTGGTGTCCGGCCGCAGATTTTGCTAGTGCAGCTCCCAGGCTCATCGCTGTCTCCATCGACTGTGTGGCCTTTGTGAGAGTGTTGTAGAGCTCGCTCCAGTCAAACTCAATCTCCTTCCATCCCAGTTCCCTCGCTCGGGATACGTCGCCTCTGCTGATGGCGTCTGAGATGTTGGCCTGAGATGTCACTCGTTCCCAGTGGGGTTCGTGGTTGCTGTGCTCCACGAAGTGCCATAGTAGAGCCAGGAGACGGTTGACTCTGGTGTCCTTTCCGAATCCTTTCAGGAGTGCAAACTTGCCCGGTTCGTTGTCGATGAAGCACAGGCTCATCCGCTCCATGTGTGGCATGCCCGCCACCAAACATAAGAGCTGGGCTATGATCTCAAGGGCGTAAATGAACGCTCTCCTGGACGTGAATCGTCCGAGCAAGTTCCCTGGCACTTGACCATGTGCGTACAAGCACTCTTGGTTCGGCTTCCTGATGATGAAGCCCCAGCCGTTCTGCAGCAGATT